AACAGGGAAATAGGTAGCAACTTTTGTCTCAGGAACATATGACATTAAATAGGTCAGGTCTGTTTGTGTGCACTCCATCTGAAGGTGACACTGGCACAAGTGAGCTCCTGTGATCTGCAATATATAATAATATGAAACTTGAATCCTGTGATATTCTCTCACTGTTTTCAACTTAGTATGCAAATTGCCTATTTCAGATCACGTCATTCCCTTGAGATTTGTTCTTTTGTTAAAATATTTACAAATAAAAGAATCAACTCCCAAAAGTGGCACTACGTGGTCTGAAGTGGGCCTAACAAATAAAGAAGGTAAAGATGTCTATTGAGCTACAATTTATGTTAATGAGTTAAAAAATATTTGTGGGTGTGGATAAGGGTGGAAGGAGGAAGACCTACTGTGATAGCAATGCTTGTATTGAGTACTGTCACTCAATAAAGTATTGACTTTCAGCATTTATGGTTAACTTGGGAGATTAATTATTGATATGTTGGTGAAATATTCAATAATGTAATAATCCATCGTCTTACATGTGGCAATGGTTTCAATGCAATCTCCATTTTCTTGTTTTTTTCCTCTTCGTATTGCATTTTATTCCTGTTGCTTGCCTCTAATAAAAATTGGTAATTTACTCCTTTTCGGATTTAAAACATGTTCATCAATTCTGTTCTGTATTGCAAACCATCCATTGTCAAACTCTTTCACACCATTAAATCCTAGGAGAGATGGAACCTTGCTTGCAGTGATAGTCCCAACTCTTAGTGCTCTCCATTCATTAGAACACTGCTCAACTTCCAAATAATTCTGCTTTTTCAATAAAGGAATGATAATCTTTTCATTCTGGAATGACCGGTCAGATGGGCTGCTGCTGCACGAATCATCATTTGACTCAGTTGATATTTGTGGCCTCCAAATTGACTCAGTACCTGCCTGGAATCTTGGTTTTAATACTTCTTTGTCATGATCTAGTCCTTTCTCCCTTCTTTCATACTCTGTTTTATATCTTAAATGTAAAAACAAGCCAGATTTCTTCTTGTATCTGGACAACACTGAATAAAAATGGTTTTCAACTGATTTCTTGTTTGCAATATTCTCCATGATTTTCCTTTCTATTTCAATCACATCACGTTTATACCAATCGCTGAAATCACTTCTTTCCTTATTTTGTTCTACAATTTTTTCTTCTTTCTTTTTTTTTTTTTATATCCCTTCTTGCTCCTCTGAAATTTCTCAAATACTTCAGCTTCATCTGTGATGCTGACTTTATTGTTCTATTACATGCAGGTCCTTTCAGGTGCCATTTTTGTAATTTTTCTGTGCAAGTCATATGAAGAAACAGCTTCTTATGTTCTCTAAAATAATTCAACTGCATCAGCAAGGCGATTGCATGACAGCACAATCCACTTTTCCCCACTGCACAAGGACAATATGCTTGGGTAGGTGTATTACCAACAAACATTATGGTTACAGGACGGGAAATACTTCCTGTGTAGGATTTGAGGATGTTTGCTTTTACAAATGAGCGTTTAGAATTGCTTTCCATCATTTTCACAGACGTTATTCGCCTCGAAGAAAACATAAGGTGCGCCTTTTGGTACTGACCTTTTTTACCTGCGTATTTGGCTTTTTGGTAGTCTCGAATAGTATTTTCGTTAACCACAGGGACGTTAGGATCTTCATTTCTTCCTATTATTTTCCAATTTGCCGATGGAGGAGGAACTTCCGAGGGTTCCAGTGAGGTGGAGAATTTATAAGTTTGACTAATGCGAAGTACTTTCTTCTGGAATAGTTCAGCAGATTTCCCTAGAGGAGCCAACCTTTCAACAAGTTCTTGCTTTTCCCCGGTGACCTTTAGCCTCAATTCCTTACAATATTGCTTCAGACTTTCTTTGCCAAGTGATGGCAAGTTTTCTGGTGATATATCACATTTGATTGCCTCAAAAGTAGACAATTTTGATTCACATTTTAGATGAGTTTTTGGATTGCTTGCAGCCATTTTGAATCTGGAATATAGTGCAAGTACAAAGTCCGCAAAAATCCGGTAGTGCCAGTCTCCTGCACGCCATGAAATCAGGCAATGAACTGTTATCACAATCACCTATTTCCATCTTTAGAACAAGCTTTTTCCTTCGGGAAACGATGAATTCCCTTCCGGGAACCAATAAACTTGCCTTAACAGGCAACATGAATTCCCTTCTAAAGGGAACCAAACTTGCCTTTTCGGGCAACATAAATTCTCTCTGCAGAACCAAACTTGCCTTTTCAGGCAACATAAAATCAGTCCAGGGAAACAAACTTGCATTTTCAGGCAACATGAACTTCCTTATGGGAATGGAAATGGTCCTTCGTGAAATAATTGATTCCGAATTGAAAAGTATCGCTACAGTCGGTTCTATTATCATGGTGAACACTGACAATGGGTTTTTTGATTGCCATGCTGAACATGCAGACCAAAATAGGTTGCTGGACACTGACATATACTTGAGTAATGTGTCTTATTTAT